AAAGACCAGGCTGCTTAGAGTAGTGCCTAAAGATTACTTCGTGCGGCTATAAACGACCGTTAAATGAAATTATGAATTTTTGAAGGATTTTGAAAACGGAAAAAATGATAGTCATGCCGGCCCAACATCATCAACATTGAAAAATGCCCCAGCATGAAGTGGTTAAAATATTATCTTGAGTCCTGAGTCTTTTATCCAATTCTTTACTGAAGTTTCAAGAGCAAATAAAGTCACTAAATGCCTCAGTGACGATACTGAGTGTAGTGTTGTATATGTGGCCAATTTATGACAGCCAAGGAAGAACACTTTGACTTGTGTTCGCCAGTCACAGGTATAAGTTGTACAACAAAGTTTTGTATCCATTTTTAACTGAATGTGCACAATACAAACCTTTATGCTTGTCAGATGAAAGAGATACACCAGAACATGTGGGCTCAGTGGAAATGGATGCTTGTATAAAGGTTATAGTCTGCACTTTTTAGAGTACTCTCTGGCTTTATAAAAAACATTTGATCAAGACTAGGTGGAAAACAGAAGGGAAGAAATGACCAAAAATATTGATTTTACCGATGTTCCTTCTTTTTTTGGTAGTTGGCGCATCTGCAGGAGAGCCACGCGGCGCTGCTGGCCTCCAAGAACCAGCTGGAGGCCAGCCACCGTTTAGAGATTAGCCGGCTTAAGGACGCAGAGGCCAGGGGCAGGCAGGAGGCAGAGTCCCTCCGGGAGAAGGTCACCGGGCTGGAGAACGAGCTGCAGGCAAGGAAGGAGGTGATCCAGGCTGCCAACGAGGCCATCGTCATCAAGGTGGGCAGTTTCTCAACAGAATGCTCACAAGCCTTATATTGGGATTGTGCATTTGAGATCTGGGATTTTATTTGAAGGATTTGTGGTCTTTGGATGTATTGTCATGGTTGCACAGGTTTGGAGAAAAGATCTTAAGTGTGTTGGAGTGTGGATGTTTTCCATGGGGATTATAGATTTTTAGGATCTGGGCAGTGGCTCTTGGTTGTGGAGCTTTGAGAATGTGGATTTTAGTATGTTGATAGTGGTATGTGGCGTTTTGTGAATGATAGACTCCAGGTTGCTGGTTTAGGAGCACCTGAACTCACCCAAGTTAATCCTGGCTGCCACCAAGTACCTGAGTTCTTGATTGCTGTTCTGTTCAGGAGACTTTGAGTTTGTTCAGTGTCTTTGATGGACAAGAATGTGCCTCAGAAAAATCATGACAGGAATCATTTTGAGAATGTGATATGCCATCCCCAATTCAAATGATGGTTGCCTGAATTAAGAAAGTTAAAAGAAGGAGCAAGCTTCCACGTTGACATTTGATCCGTTTTGTAGCATTGTGGTGTGATGGTCTGTTACATTTACATACAGTTTCCTAGAGTCTGAAATTTTGCTTTGATTTCCCATTCAGGAAGCGGAGGTAGCCCGTTTGAATGCCCGCATATCAGGCTACGAGAGGGCCACCTTTGGCACCCAGTTCACAACTCACGAGCCCCCCAACCACTCCTCCTCAGCCACCCCTAGCAGGGGTATTGCCCCGTACCTCATACCTCCTCTAGTGGCCCCCTCATCCCCACTGTTCAAGTCCCCGAGAATCGTGCTACGCCGAAGTGCCTCAGATCACAACCTGCCGTCGTCCGGGATCGGGGTGGACGCCGGCCTTCGCAACAGCTTCCGAGACATGCACCTGCAAACTGGCAGTCCGCACCGTGGGAACCACTCCCGACACTTGACAGACACCGGCTACCACTCGCTGGGGCTGTACGGAAGTCGGGACGTGCAGGAGCCGATGGTGGGGTACGAGCCGCGAGATGTCCACTCTCGCAACAGGGTCATGAAGGAGCCGGCCTCCCTGGGGCACTTCTCTGATACTGACAGTGCCGAGGATGCCGAAAACCTGGAAACCTTGCAAGGGATGTTGGCATTCGTGAACCGTCACATCGCCAGTCAACAGCAGCAAGATTCCGCCGCCCACAGTCACTCCCCCAACCCTAACCTATCCAGTCTCACGGAGCATGGGCACTCTCTGATTGGCTTGACTCAAGAGGACTCGGAGCTGGCACTAAGTCTGTCCGAGATTCAGGACGTTGGAGGGGAACGCTGGGGGAGCCCAAGTAAGGGGAGGGGCGGATCCAGGACTTCTGCAGGGAGTAGGGGAGTCTCCCCATCATCCAAATCACCAGATAGAGGGAGGACCCAGGGCCACCAACCAAAGATCATGAAATCAACCAGTAAGAACATATCACAGAGTAACAACTATTTACGCAGTATTATGACATATGCATATCCACCAACATGCGACTTCTGAACATGTAAAATTACCCCTGCTCATCATGCTTTCTTAATGAATCCAAGTGATTGTAGTCCATTTGCAATCAACATTTCAATTTCATTCACAGACGGTTCTCCAAAGATACTGCCTCTTAAGAAGCGTTTAGCCACACAGCGGGCCAAGCTCGTCAGCGGCAAGCCTTCCAAGGAGACACCACTCAAACCGGAAGACTGGTATAAACAAAAATTTCATTGGGGTAGAGGAGATTAATTGGGTTGCACACAGCATGGGGTGGACGTTGACCCTTGATTGTTTGCATGCCAGTGCAGACATCGTCAGAAATTGAATTTGGGATAAAATTGTGCGCAGTTTTGTAGGTGTTGCAGTGAGAGATATTGCCCCTCAGATTCATAATAGATGCCATGTCACATTGTTGAAGCTCGACAGGAGTTTCACATTTTACCGGATTTGTGCTTTCATGTTTACCAGCATGGCCGACCTGCAGGACAGGCTGCGGGCCAACGATGAGAGGCGTCGCCGCATCGACGACCAGCTCTACAACATGAGGGACCACGCCCGCAAGATCACCAATCGCATCCTGGGCAAGGACCCGGACGACGGATGAAGAACCAAAAAAAAAACATAGAAGGGAGGGGGGACCTTGCCTGGGCCGGCTCTGCATTTGAAGGGCATCCTCTAGCAGAAGACGACCAAGAGGAAAGTTAAAGGAACTATCTTAAGGAAATGTCTGTGGTCTTATTGGTTGCTGTGTGCATAAAGGGCGCCCTCTATCATTGGAAAGGATTATTCAGAGGACAGGTCATAAAAAAATTTCCCAGGAGTGCGATGAGGTCAAGATCATTTTGCAGTCATGCATCTGTGCTGAGTTGCAGACCTCTGATGGACACAACACCCAGTGTGGTTTTTGTACGCATTCTGCAGAAAATAAAAATCTGTCAAAAGAAACTGCGCGAGTGATGCGTGATGCCCGTGAGCTTTCAGCAATATGTAAAGGGCTTTTTCTCAGACCTCCTTTGGTCACACAGCGCCACCAACAGCTCTCAGCCAGGGGGCTGTTTCCAAATCAAAACTCAACAGTGATTCAATTTAAAATTATCTTTTGCCTTGAACATGAATTTGACTGTCAAGTGACATTAGAGGGCAGCCAACAGTGTATTCAGTAGCCGTAGCTTCAAGAGTTTTGAATTATAGCATTTTCAGAATAGCAATACATGTACATCAGTATTTGAAGAGAAATGCCTTAACTAGCCTTACTGAGTGCCATCCTTTTTGTACAGTTTTGTGTCATTGGTACATTTGTATTTAATAAGACTGAAACATTCCTAGTGAAGATGCCCCCCAAGTTATCTGTGCCTTGTTTTACCGCGAGAGACATTCAATGCTGCCTAATTCACCATGGAAACTGTGATGCACTTTATGGAAGTGATTACCTACGAGCAATAACAAAACGTGAGAATTGTTGAGGTATATTACCAATTTCAGTAGTTGTATTTATGAATAAATGTGCCGGTCATTACACAATGTGTCGTTGTGGTCTGCAGTCCAGAGTTCATCCCTACAGTGGATTTGGCCTGGTTGGGCTGGGAGAATTGTGACCCACTGCTCCAAAACCAGGCTGAAGGCTTCAGGCCATGAGCTGGATAAATCACACCAGTATGCACAAGAACACTGCAAATTCCGCAACTTTCAAAGCCTGCAACAACCCAAGCTTTTGACAGACAAAATTTAACTATGGATCACTTTGAGGTATGAGATTATCAGTCGGCAAGAGGAACTGTGGAACATTGCATTTACCTTCTTCGGCCTGGTTTCAGGATACGTCAGAAACGACCTTCACTGAAAGTGCTATTGAGTGCTCATGTTCTGTCTTTTTCTTGCGTATTAACAATGACGTTTGTCCTGCCTATTTACTCATTTCTGAAAAACACAGACTGCAAAATTGCACATTCAAACACTTTCTTGTCCAAAGTTATTCTTTACTGTCCATTCTTTCAATGTGTAGCAATATGCATTACACGAAGTTGCTCATACATTACATACACGTATATACATTCGTAGTGACCTTAATTTGTATAAAAATATTTTGGCCTTGGTAAAAACTCTTCAAACCATCAACGCATTATACATGTGACTCATTCCTCCTGGAACTTGCATATATGGTATTAAAGCAGTGCACGTCTCTAGCTGTCAAAATTTCAGAATGATTGTTAAAATTAATATCAATTCTAGTGCTTATCACTGGTATTGCTATCAAATAAGGTGGATGCAATGAAAGTTGCAGCCATTTGTAATAAGAAAGGGCGTGGCCATCCAGTAACACATAGTTCTAGCAATCTGGTGTTAATCACCACAGCAGCTCAATATATCAGTCGATAGTGACACCTGTGCATGCAGTGCGTGCCAACCTTACATACCTAGTGCAGACTTGTGAACAAAAGAGATCCGTGTAATGCAGGTTGTGAGAACCTTGTGAGTACATGTACTAAGCCAGGTCCATACAATGTTACACCCTTTCTGGAGAACAGTCTTAGAGGCACTTTGGGGGCCAGGGTTATCCATAGCAAAAGAGGAACGGTCAAGGAAAATCGTGAGCGAATATCCAGCTTTAAAATAGTTCACAGTACAAGAAAAATTAGTATTTTCACCGAGTTTTCTAAACTACACAAAACGAAGGAGTTACACCCACACTGGGTTGGTAGTGTTATGTTAATAAAACCGTGTAGACCAATTTTATCTGCTTGCATCTTGTACAAGCAGTTTCATGCGAAGAAACACGACTCAAACACTGATTTATACAATCTAATCACACCATCTCAACTGGAATGGGACTTTTTCTTCTGTTTTTTTTTTTTTGTCAATATCATTTACAGATAATGAAACCTCATTTGCAGGAAGACCTGGAACAAACTTAGCCTTGATTCAAGTCTGGAACAAACTTAGCCTTGAAAGTCTGAAACTACAATCACTGTTGCCATGTTTGTAAGATTCCCTATCACGGGCAGTTAAGCTATTGACAAAGGCACCAGACTGTCAAGGTATATAAGCCCCGACTCGGAAAATAACCGGCAGCAACTCGTATGATATTTGCCAGGGATTAGCATGCACCATAATGCCCAATTAAGGAATAACTTCATAAAAATACATCTCCGCGCACACCTATTTCAAGTCCTCATTTCTTTTGTCTTTTCCCTCTGGATCAGGAATACATAGATTAAGTTCTTGCAAAGGCAGGCTGACAATATCAAGAGATATATGCTTAACCACTTGCTGCCGGGGATTCCAGTATTAGATACGTATGCTTTATACATGTGGCCCGGGGTCTCCGAAATCGAACAAAGAGAGCTGAGCCTTATAACAAAAGACCAGGCTGCTGGGCATTACAGACATTTTTTCACTCTCAATAGTGGAGATAATCCAGCCTTGTTTTGAAACAGTATACCATGGTTTTGGGCATTTAGTGCGAGCAGATTACCACCGGGGACAAAAGCACTTCACCATCGCAGTGATGAGCCACACAGGACCCACTGCGCGTTAATATGGCCCCTATTGAAAAGAGGTCAGCAGTGCACTGAGCCAGGTTCGTGAACAAAAGAAAGTTACATAACACCGCACAATCTGGGCTCTTTTTACAAGGCGGCAGGCCTGGCTGAAATACTCGGGCGTCAATAGATTTTGTCTGTCAGATTAGAGTAGCCATCAGGCAGTCATTCGTGTGGGTGTAAACGTCCATTAATTGAAATGCTGAATTTTTGAAGAATTTTGAAAACTAAAAATCTAGAAAATGTCCTGTTTGTGTGTGTACTGCATTTTTCAAACCACCCGGCAGCAATTGGTTAATATAAACAAATGATGAGCTAAAAATGTGACACAAAAACTTGAGGAAAAAAAATAAACCAAACTAGTTTTGGCCATGGTTTTGCACTGAGCAGTAATTATGCGCATAAGCTAATATAAGGTAGGACAATGTATCTACAAGCCGACAACATGCAAATGTCAAAAGGGAAGTCAAATTGTCTGACTTGAGACAGGTTAAATGCATCACAATTAATAAAAAGATGAATTGGTGACACCATACTTGATTCACTTGTGTGCTTTCTGTCTGTGCTCAGCAGACGGTGGGCCCCACTGGTTCCATGGGAAAGTGCAGACAGTAAACTAAGATTGTCATCTTCAGTACATAGGTCAACGTGTATTTAAAAATCTCTGCACAATGAGACGGCAAAAATGTGAAAAGCCAGCCCAATTTGGCCTGAGCAAGGCTTTGACTTGAAATTACATGCACTTACAAGAAGTGACTGCAGCCAGAACCATAGACCTGTGTGCAATTACAAACCACAGCAAAGTAATTTGGTCGCAACTTGAGCGTCCTTGGAATGTTGGGTGCCCTGTCTCCAAACTGTGGGGTCCCTTCACAAGTAGTGCAGTCAGAGTAGACAATGGACTAGTCCTTTAACTGCCAGTTTAGTCTTACATTTGAAATTCCAACCATTTGAGGCAAATTTGAGCAATGACAATTTTGTCAAATGCTGGTCCCTTTGCCTGGTACCCAAGATATACATATATTGTGCATGGGTTACCCGGGAAAATCAACCAGTGGTCAGCATGCCCTTGTTTCACCCACTGGTGGCAAACTAAGTTGACTAAAAATGTTGAAAATACCAGTGCCCCAGGATATTTTCACATTTGACTGATAGTAAGCAATAACTGAAACGTTCTGATGTTTATAATTACGCGAGGTGAAAATTCTAAAAAGAAAGGTCGTGTAACACAAAGATGAGAAAACCGTAATTCCAAGTTTTCTTCCATGTGAAATGATACACATTCCCATTGGTAATAGCTGGTTTCCTTCCCTAGAATTGAAACCCTCCACACTTTCAAAGGGTCTATGCGAAGCATTTCTGTTAAAATACGTGGAATCATTTGATTGATGATTGTTATTTGAGCAACAGGCCAGCAAGCTACCCTTTCTTGACATGTTTCTGAAAGTCAAATTTTGGGTTCACAACTGACTAGTTGCACCTGCTAAATCATGTGATCTGGAGTGGGTATCAAACATCAGCGCACATGGTGTCCTCCAGTAGAGAAGTGTTATAAGTGCTACATCAAATATAAAGCTGACGGTCAATGCAGTGCTGAGAGTACTAGAGTGCTGAGTAAGCTTATGAACTTAAACAGACTTAGCTATGGGAGAATGCCATGTTTGCTGATGTTTGATATAACCACTATACCGGTAGATCACATAACTTAGCAGGCACAATCAATTTATTTGGACAAACTGATCAACAGCCCCCTCTATTAACTAGAAAAGCGTGGAAAAATTTTAAGTGTTAGTAAAGCCCACTTAGTTCCGAAAGGATCTCTCATTGTTTTTGAAGCACTGACGAATTTAAAGTTGCACAAAAAGACAAAAAAGAGATGTCCAAGACAGTGTCTCCACCTTGCACCTTGAATGTACAGCGCTGACTGATTCTACAGCGGAACAATCAAGATTATTTGGTATCTCCATTACGTGTTGCATGCTGACACAAATACATTTATAATTAACCACTTGCTGCCGGGGGACCCGTTTTCGAGCACATATGCTTTGTACAAGAAGCCAGGGAGCCCGAAACCGGGACAAAAGAGCTGGGCTTTGTAACAAAAGACTGCGCTCGGCACAAAAGATTGAGCTGCTGGGCATTACCGACATTTTTTCACTCTCAAAAGTGGAGATAATCCAGCCTTGTTTTGAAACAGTATACCACCGTTTGGGGCATTTAGAGCGAGCGGATTACCAATGGAGACAAAAGCGCTCCACCACCGCAGCGATGAGCCACACAGCACCGCTGCATGCTAATCTGGCCCCTATTGAAAAGAGGTCAGCAGCACACTGTGCCAGGTTCGTGAACAAAAGAAATTCTATAACACCGCACAATCTGGGCTCTTTTTACAAGGCTGCAGGCCTGGCTGAAATACTCAGGCATCAATAGATTTTGTCTGTCAGGCTACAGTGGCCACCACACAGTGATTCATGTGGGTGTAAACGTCCATTAATTGAAATGCTGAATTTTTGAAGATTTTTGAAAACTGAAAATCTTGAAATTCGCCCGTATGTGTGCAGTGCATTTTTCAACTCACCCGGCAGCATGTGGTTATTACACAAGTGGAGATAGTCATTTTTGGCACACACATCAAGTAGTCTTAAAATTGCACTTGGTAAATGAGCACCAAAGTTATTCGTTTAACCAAAGTTTTGTTGATTCTGTTTGCATAGATCCAGGAATAAATGAGCATTAATTTTTTGGACTCATGGGAAATGCCGTCCCATGAAATGCTTGCAAAAAGATGCCGCCAAAACTGTGGTTACGAATTCACTGTTACCCACTCAAAAAAAAAGAAACAGGTGTTTTAAATAAATGAGCATTAATTTTTTGGACTCATGGGAAATGCCATCCCATGAAATGCTAGCAAAAAAGATGCCGCCAAAACTGTGGTTACGAATTCACTGTTACCCACTCAAAAAAAAAAAGGAACAGGTGTTTTAAATAATTTAAACTCTAACTTTAAACTTGTTCACATGTCTGCTTTTAAAAAGACACAGGAACAGGTGAGTTTTCAGCAAAACTGGAATATTTGACATTTTTCCTTTGACAGTAGAGACAAATCCGACGACCAAAATTAGAAGCCATTACTACGGGCCATCCTGTCTGCACGCAGGCAGTGCACACGAGTGAAATTCCTCCTTGACCAATAGGTAGTAGTCAATTGCCAAAGTTTACGCGTGCTCAGATTGAGATAGCTGTGTGAGTGTAAATGCGCCCCTCAGAACGGTGTCTCGTCGGATTCCTCTATACGACTCGGGTTAGCTGCTTTTTTTCACGTATGCAAACTAGATGCATACCTCTATCCGTTCAGTATGCCGGTGGCCACACCCCCAGATGCACCTGCAGCATGTTTGTGCTCTTAAGCTGTTGTTACATTTTGTCAGTTCCATCGGCAATCTTGAGTTCTTTGCAGTTCAGTTCTCATCATGCATAGGCATGCGATGAACTTCCTCTACTGACCGTTCCCTATTTGGGGCCATGCCCATTCCAGGCACCACCCATTTCTGGCACCATCTACTGCCACGCCACACCCATTACAGGCAACACCCATCACAGGCCGTCTCCCCTCCAGGGCAGGTGCTTGACGGACCTCAGTCATCCAGCCAAGCCCACTCAAGGCAACGCCCATTCAAGGCTGTGCCCAATAGGGGCCACACCCTTTCACACATCAATCTCATTAATCCTGCCTTCGTCATCTCCAATCTGGAACCGTATCCTGGTGACCGAGTTGCACACCTGTGGGCCATTGCTCAAGTCACCTCTCATAAGACTGCTATTTCTTTTGCAATGTGTCTCCTCAGACGAAGTGTTTCTCAGTAGCAGTTGCGTTTCGTCAAACCTGGGAAGATAGAGGATTTCATTGATGTAACCGATCCACTTTGTCAGGGTCTTACAATCAACTTACAGCAATCTGTAATTGTGCAATATCACCTACTCACTTTCTGTGAGTAGAGATATATTTTAACCATGGGCTGAGTTCGGGTGGCTTGTTTCCGTATGTTCACGAAGAGCTCGATTTATTGTTCGTAGGTCGGCCGCTCGAACGCCGGGAACAAACAACCGGTTATTACAAGCAACATGCAACACGGCGGCGTGCATGTACGTTATTCGAGAGTTAAGGTTTGGATGGGCTGAGTTCTTTTCTATATAAACAGGAACATTCA